CCCCCCCCCCCCCCTCCCCACCCTTACCAAACCGAAACTTCACCACTTCCAAGCCAGCGCTGGAGGATTTAAAACATCCATGCGATTTTTGCTTGCTTGTACTAAGTCTCACCTGAAATCACCCCCACAACTCCGTTCAGGGAAGGATTCGGCAGATTTGGATAGCAAATTTGAGATCAGCGTTCAAAAACAGGTCTAGCAGTGTGGGTTTTATTTCAAACGACCACTTCGACTAGGGATCTTCCCCTGGTGAGTTAAGGTGAACCTGTATGACATATACACAAACCTGGAATTCCTGTGAAATGGTTCACTTCAATGCCAATTTCTCTACTTGTAACGTCAAAACGCGGAGAACTTTGACGACGGGATGCAGTAGTTACCAGAAATTGATATTTACCCTGATTCAATTCAATCCAGTAGTGGGAAGGAAACAGAATTATGAAAAAATGGAGCCACTGATTGATACTTCGCTTAACTTCCATGGCGATGCTTCCAAGAACGGAGACATCCTAGACGCAAGGTTGGCTTTTTAAAGACACATGGGTTGGCCGTATGACCAACGAACAGAAATGCGCTGTCCACGTAGAATGATGAGAGCTAAAACTTTGATCAAACCGAAGGTGCCCAATGGGCATACCATTCTTCCGAGATAACTAACACCTAGAAATATGAATGCGACCGCGCGCAAAGACCTCTCTGCATATTGCCAACGGAATTCATGGATACCTCCTAGAAATAGCAGAAGGTAGATCTGAAGGGAAACCAGCCTATTCTACACATTAAAACTGGACCAACAAAGGAAGGATCGAATGCGAAGGACCAACAAATTACTTTTCCTGCTGGGTCACGTTATCCTAGAGAAAAGTGTGAACAAGACGTAGATAGGAAAGTTGGGCAATGTCGGAACCCACTCAAACCAATAAAATAACTGTAAAAAAAGTTAAAAATGTCGAAAACTTTAATGGATAGGAAGTACCTTTCTCTATGTAATTTCGAGGGATCCAATCAGCGTGTGCATCAAAGAAGTTGGCTTGCGGAGGAGGAGGCAACGGTTCATCTTCATGCGTTGAATTAAGCATCTGCATCACCGGCGGAGGAAGATCTGCAATATTGTCAATAGGCGGTGAGCAAGAAAAGTGGGTTTTCCAACACGCTAGACAGAGGATTCGAGAGAAAAAGGAGAAACAAAGGTATCTGACCGTCCGACTTCATGAAACCGACGTAGCCATAGTGGGAACTAAGCTGAGGAGGAGGTAATGGGAACCCTGGTGAATCAGCTCTTTCTTCATTGATAGCACTGCCACTCTCACTTCGAACGACTGAATGAAGTTTCAGTGTTCCTAAAAGGCACTGGTAAACAGTCCTGTTGACAAATCTTCCACTATGACCCGCTAGTATACCTATGTAGAAACCATCTATGCCCTGAGTAAGCCATCATCCTTTGATTCTTTTCTTTTTTTGGGGCCAAGTCGGAGTGCACAGCTGACGCCTGCATTCCTCTTTTCTGCCAGTGGTAAAGTTAGAATTGTTTGGTCATTATGCCGATAACTTTACCAAGGCGACATTCATATGGTACTTCCTTTGTTAACTTATCGTTTGAGAGTCGTAGGAGTAAAAAGAGGCGGAATGCGGAAAGGCTTTCAGCTTTACTACAAAGAAAATAAATTCGATGGGTCGATATCGATCAAAATCGCATCGGCAAATATCCATCACGGATCTCCACAGCCTTTGACGTTCTGCATCTTGATGCAGTACCCATCCTGCTAAGCGCCGTCAAATCATTATGGAAACTGAAGATTCATCGCTCTTACCACTTCGACTTGGGATCCTTCCCTGGATAGTAGCACAAGACCTCTTGAAAAAAGGGCACCTAGCGTGGCTAAATGCATCGCCGTCGGTTTCCGCCGCTTAGTGACACTCAATCCTCAAAATGATTTTGAGTTGACTTTCACCAACATTTAGAACCACACTGGTCTCACAAGTTCACACTGGATCGATGTCTGTAGTATCGATCATGCCATGCGCCGTTCGTGCCACACTATCCATATTTCGCCAATTTGTGTGTAAAGTTATGACCTCCATTGTAGAAGCTTAAGAGGAGGAGTTGGATCATCTGTATCTTCCTTTATATGGGACGCTTTTCTGTGGTAACGATCCCATTAGTGATGAGGAGCCGACACTGGTGGACTTATGGCAAGCGGTGCATTATTTAATCGTTTTATGCTATCTGAATTTCTGGAACAGAACTTTTGCTTAACAGTAGTTTTAGTGATGTACGTTCCTCCACAAAGTTAGCGAACTACAGGGTACACATTAAATAAATTAATAAATAAAAACAAGCATAAATATGGTAACAGTGTTGCGCGGAAGCATGATTTTTGGGAGAGACTTTTGAAATCCGTTATCTCTGTAGCGTGATGTTCCCGATATACCACAGCACCTATGCTTGCTTTGCTGATTACAGTTCGCCATTTTAAAAAAAAATGGAAGCCTTGTCATAATCCAATGTCAGCCCGTCTTTGCGCACATCTGGTAAATCCTTCGCGAAATCACAAGCTTCGACGTTGTTTCGTACGATCGTCCATAGAAATGCGAAAACGACATGCTTTGATTCGCTCATTCTGTCGAACTACGACCCCATCTTTGAGAGGTTGTTAAAAGAAGAATGAGCCGCGAAACCTACAGAAACATGGGAGTATTGGCTGCTGAACTGAATGGGTCTGATGCTTCCATGAAAAGAATCGTCCCTAGAAACGGCAACTGTATCCATTATGGTCTCACATCCAGGCGTTTCTCAATACAAAGTTTTGGCGAGGAAGAAATATCATATAGTACCATGTTGTTCTATTGCTCGTTTGGCACCACTGATGGAAAGGTGTTTGTCGTAGAAAACGAGTTCAATTCTCAAAGAAGACGCATCTCTGCCGATATGAGCAACGAAACCGTTGAAGAAGGAAAAAACGTCTTTTGTATTAAACACACTCCTTCCTTCGCAGTAGTTTGCAGTGGATCCTTCGACATAACACGAAGACCGCTGCATTTTGCCGAGATGAGTATGCTCGTTGTTGATGCGATGGCAGTAAATATAGTTCCCATGAAATCATCATAGATGATTTGACCTGTGGTTTTTGCACCACAATTAATCTGTTATTATATGACAATTACAGCTACGGAAAATATATGCGGCTTCAAAATCTCCAAAAATTCTTACCGTATCTGTCCTGCATACTTATCCTTCCTAAATCGGAAGCTCCATCTGAGAGAACACTGGAATCGGTAGTTTCTCGTCCGACAAGCTGAGCAAATTCTGTTGCGGGTTGATGATGAGAAATAGGGCCCACAGACATGTAACGCTGATGATCAACCAGTGGCATCACCTGAATGAAAAGTAAACAACGCTTCAAAAGCAAGCTCGGGATATGAAGGCAAGTCTAACCAAAGGTACTCTATACTGGTCTGGTGTGTTCATACTCAAATGACCGCTACGCATCGATGAACGACCCAACTGAATGCATAAAAATTTAGAAGGAGAAAAGGAATAATGAGAAAAATAAACAAAAGAATTGTAGATGGATAATACCAACACTCGACAATAATATATAGAAGAACACACAGAAGTGGAACAAACAACTGACCGTGTTACCACCAATGTTAGCGGTGCGTTCATACTGAACGTAATGCATTGAGTACGGTTGTGATCCAGAAACTGTGGAGGCGGCTCGAGACACCAGTCCACCGCGATGTTGAGGCACCTCCAAGCAAACCGCTTTACTACATATTAGATTGCACTCGGAATGAAATGGAAGCCAACCTCACAACGAACACCATGGCCTATACCATCCAAAACGGAGAAGTCTATCGGTGCACGTCGGTATCTCTGAGGTGGTTCCTATAAAGTTTGAAGCATTTTGAAAGTGAGTGCGGGTCGCAAAATTCGGTACCACATCAAGAACACCAACCTGAGTTGCAGGGGCAATAATTTTTGGTTGTTTCTGAGTAGTTTTGTTTGTCGTTAGAGCGCCGATTTCTCTTCGAGCTAGTTTTTCTTTGTGAATATTAACAACCTGTATATGCAGTTTCACCCAAACTCATACAGCAAAAGGCAACTGCTTCCACAGGCACAGGGAAGAGGTGAGGAATGAATTGGATTAAACTTACTACATCAATATTTTCCACTTGACCGGAGAGATTTGAAATTTTGTCCGTTTGCAAGTCCAACATATCCAATAGATCCCTCAAAAAGACAACGTTTTAAGTCCTGGTGAATAAGAGATGTTCGATCGATTACCTTGCAAGGGTATTTATTTGGTAGGCCACACTGGCAAGGGACTGCAATGCAAACTGTTTTGTTTCTTCAAATGATGCATTTCGATCCTGAAAAAGTGCAATCCACCGTCAAAAAAAATATTTGAAAAAAATGAAGACTAACAGTGTATTCAAAGACTTAAGCTGAATTGACAATCTGCATGTGTACACCAGCAGTAGTAGAACGACAATAGTGCTGAAGTTATCGAAGACGGAAGCGAGCAAGATAGAGAAGGACAGGGAAAGAAAGATAGCCAATGAGGTCTCTGTGTTCTCTTAATCACCCTCAGCAGGGAAACTAAGCATGAATACAGTTCAAGCAGCGTGTCACAGTGTTTTTACCTCAAACAAAGTGGAATTGAATGATTACACATCGGCTTGGTGCCGACGGTCGACATTGAATAGATTCTAAGCGGTAAAATTCCGGGCTTTGCCTCGCTGTTTTTTTGAAATATCCACTAATAACAGGNNNTTTCAATTGGGTGCTACTTGGTTAACCATAAAATGATCTTCTGCTGCTTTTTAATTTGATGATAACTGTTAATTTTGCAGTTTAAAACTTTATGTTATCTAACTGATGACGTCTTCGTGACTCACGGTAACAGTAGACTCTTTGGCTAACTGTTCGTTTCGCTTAAATAGACAGTAAATGGGGTATGAGCCGCCGATACGCGACATATCTGTCGACAGCCAGCGTGGAAGCAGGCGCCTGCGTTATAAGCGTTATTAACGCGACGGGCTGGAGTTCGATCACGGGTCCAGGGAAAGGGCTCAGATGGAAGCAAGGATGCTGCGTATCTCCCTACTTTACAACGGCATGAATAGTCCGTGCCGTGTCCAATCCGCATTCTTGCTCTGCACGGTGAAATGTAGTAGGGTCGGAGTGGAAATGAGTAGGGGAAAAGGAAACACCCCTCGTCTTTAACACTAGGGAGGGGGAAAGGTTAAGCATAGGGGTATGATTCACAGAACAGTCGCTAGCCCACGTTTGAGTTTTGACTTTTTCTATTTTACAAGGCACCACGTTAAGAGATAGTTACAGCAAATGTACACAAAAAATAAAGTGAATATGAGAGGTCTTCAGCATGGCTCACCACAGCGTTGAGATAATTAGCCTCACAGTAAGCTGCAACGTTCTCCAGATTCAGATGACTGGTTTCCAAATGAGCTCGGTGCTCAGGAATGCGTGACTCGATGAGCGTCCTGAGGTCATTCCCTGACATTCCACCTCCATTTTCGTCCAATATCATCGCAAGTCCTAACTGTCGGAACTTCGCCACATGAAAAAACAAAGCAGGATTAGCAACAACGACAAATGGTAAAAACAACATATAACTCGGCCTAATCGATACAAAAGTAGGATTGGAGCCGTAATAAGACGGACATTCTTGGACAAGGATAGAGAACCACGTGCAAAAAGTCAGGCTAAGACAAGTCATCACTACTGGAAATCGGCGTTTGGGTGCAATCAAACAAATGAGGACCAGGAACCGTCTNGAAAAAGCGCGTACACCGGAAGTCTGTTATTACACTAGCACACCACAATTTACGTCGAGACTTTGATAACTGTCTCGCCACGCCCTCCCAATTCCCTGACTATTGATGTTCACCTTGCTTCATGTAGCTGTACTTCTAGCCTATTTTCCGTACGCTACACCATCTTGGCAAGCGGAGGAATTGGCTCTCTACGATTTGGTTGAAGAAGTTCACAATAATTTCTACGATATTTATGGCATATCAAAGGTTGGTTTTCGCATCCAATTTTAATAATTTAGAGATCCATTTTGAATGCCACGTTGTGGTAAAGTGCTCGATTTATGTAATCATGCTGGTACAAGAAGTAAGCATTACATGAAAGAAGGAGGTGTCCTCGAATTACAAAACAAACAAAAGCTAAAAGCTGGGTCCAGCCGGTATACTTGAGAAACGAAGGAGAGCAGGCATTTTCATCGCTTGAAACTTGAATTAAGCACAAGTTATCGAGCTGAGTGATATCTGCTGTCGTCCACACTTGTGCCCACGTTACCCACCGTAGACACTTAAATTCAATACAGAAACTGGGCCAGTACTGTAACTTCATTGCGGGATAAGGCCCAAACATATGAACGTAATGCAAAGCAGCAGCCTGACCAGTTCATTTATTGGGACGTCCTTGCCAACGTCCCTTTTTGATGCATCGTATGTGGAACGCGTCATGGAGCGTGTATTCAGACCAAGCTTATGCCGTCGAATGACATGTATTGTAAGTGAAGTCCTGCGTCCACGCATTTTGTTCCACCGTCAAGGGCCGTCACATCGACGAACTTCTTACATAACGGCATTCTGTATCTCGCGATACTTCAGTGAGTCTTGTGACAGTGTGGGTACTGAACCCTCTCTGAATCCCTGCTTGGTCGCATGGTTCCCCTTCACCTAATATTCTGCCATTCCTGTTCAGGATGACGTGTACGGAATTTTTGTAGGGTACAGACAACAGGCAGATTGGGCAGTATCTCTAGATGTTGTCGGGGTTTCCTTTCTTAGAAAACAAAGCAGCCTTCTAGTTTTCACGACTAGAGCACTTTGAATTTCGATACCGCGTGAAGGGCATAGCCAGAGTTCTGACGATATATAACTAATAGTAGGCTCTTTAGATGTTCTAGTTTGATTTTGTAGACGACCTTCTCCATCGTCCTTCGAGATGCAGTAACTGTTCTGTCAGGACGACGAAGGGAGGTCACCTTGAACTTGTAGTTGGCAAAGCTCAGGCGGGCTTTGAAAATGCTTTTTCTGGCTCGGCAGCTTCATTAACTGCTGTTCTCTCTACAAGATCTTCCTTGATCGCTTCTCTGCATAGCTTTGCAAGCTCGGGCGCCGGTTGATGATTGCCTATAGCTCGCACGATTCCGTTGGTGTATCAGCTCAAGAGTCTTCGAAGATAGACGTCCCAGCGTTTTTTATAGACTCTCCACTCTCCTAGCACTATCAGGAAAATATTAGTACTCTTTGTTCCAGTTGTATTCTTCATCAAAGCTGCCGATAACGGAATCTCCCCAGAAACTCGCAAGGAAAGTGAAGTGGTTCCAATTGATGAAGGTCTTGGGACTCTCGTTTCTTGGGCTCCGCAACTCTCTCTCTCTCCACGCACTAAGAAACAGAATTTAGCGCGAAGGAGGTGATGGTCCGATCCTGTGTAGAACTTTGGAGCAACAGCGACGTTATCACGTAATGCTTTCGATTGAAGATGATGTGGTTTATTTCACTATGGAACTGCACCCCCGGTAATTGCCATGTCTATCGTAATTGAAAGGGCTTCTTGTATTACGAGTTACCGTGCATAGTGTGGGTCGACACGATAAACGCAGCCATGAGTATCGATAGCTCTTCGGCCGTTCTTCCGAGGCGAATTTTAGAGCTGAAATAACCGACGATGACCTTGAAGAAAGTATGGTCTTCTCTGTAGAGCCTCTCCAGATTCACATAAAATGCTTCCAACTCCTCTTCTTCGTAGCTTCTTGGAGGTGCGTAGACAACGAAGATTGTTAGAGCTGGGATTGAGCCACATCTTCTCGATCGCTAACGTCCGATTCGGGTTTTCGAGCCTTTGTACGAATCGATGTTCATGGCCAAGTACGTATTGACGAGGACGCCTACGCCGCAGTCGTCTCTGCTGCCGCATGTTCCAAGAAACAGTCCTTCTCTGGTCTCAATTACAGCGTACAGCGGGCGATGCCTTCTTGTCTCGGTCATTCAGATGACGACGCACTTGATCTTCCTAGCTTGCATCAAGTTTTCGATCCATGTTTCCGATGCGTTGTACGTCGGAGGTGCGAATCGCCATCTTCTTTCAAGCAGGCTGTTTCGGCCCCCGAGGTTTTAGCAGCCTCTTCCGAGTCGTACCCTCTGAAGTGGGGAACGGGTTTACTGCGGGTACCTATGCAGAAGTTAAATTGATTTTGGAGGCGGCACCAAATCGCGCGCCGGATTCCTATCAGTCACTCGAATGCAAGATTTTGGCTGAGTCGTTGTTCAGGATACCAACTGAAACCGTAGACTCTCCCCACACGTACGAGTGGATACACCTGCGAGATACAGAAATGTATCGACCCCTAGCAGCAGAAACAATGAGTTCTCCCCTGGATCCATCTGCGTCTTTGGGCAAATACCGGTGAATTCCAGTCCGCGATTTACTCCCGTATCCGCTCCCAGGGGATGCTCTACTTCACCTCTTCGCTAATTGGCTTCAGATTCTTCAATGGGAGAAAACCTTAAGTAAAACAGATCCATGGCGCTAGCAATGTCATTAAGAAAATGTAAGCAGCTTATGTGTTGCATATTTTATGCTGGCAAAAAGTTCATTTTCTTTTGTTTCAGTTGATATTATTTATTTATTATGCACAAAGGTGTGCCACTAAAAAAGCCTAACAGAGAAGCAATACGCAGAAACACAGAAAGCCATCAAACCTGAAACCATGCAATAAAAGTGCTAGACACACTAGATGACATACTTGCATGTCAATAGTATTGGAGTGAAATGAAATAGAAGATAGTATGCTTTCATTGAAGCCATTGATGGCTCCAACATCATTAGTGGACAGAAAAATATGCTCAACTATTCACTCAACTATTTCTCATGTTTTGAGATGTGGCCATTTCGATTCCTAGAATCGATATTGGTTCATCTGAGTCTGGCGGAGAGGTCAGTAACGAATTAATAAAACGGGCCATCTCACAGACTAGTGAGTGTAGGTGTGATCACCGTAACAGTTGTGGCAGTAAAAGCTAGCCCCTATATAGCTCTTGGCGCCAGAGAAGACGACCATATATTTCATCCTATCTTGCTTTCTATTATAGGATGCGTCGGTTGCGGAAATCAAAAGGGCCTATCGAAAGCTCAGCCTTGAATGGCATCCTGATAGAAACAGCGCACCTGATGCTTCCGATAAGTTTAGACAGGTATGATTTTTCTTATTGACGTTCTTCCAATTACTCGTTATGGGACCTTTTCAAGGCTTGGGGTTGCTTGTTTCCTTGACAGCTCGGAAATGGCTCTGTTTGAGAGCTTAATAGACTAAAGCGATAAAGTCTAGACTTCTACTACGTTTTCCAAGAACAGTCTGATTCAGCTTTTAGTAATGAAGAATAAGTCGCCCATGACATCTGCAGTGACATTGCTTGATGAATCGACTTACATTTATTTTCGACCAGCTTATTGCGGCGCATAGTGTAGGCATAACCAACAGCAGCATAAACATAGGCATTACACACCCAGCGGTACTCACTCTTCAGGAGGGGTATGGGTACATTGGTGCGTAGAGAGATGCACGCGGTCAACTGCGTGGCGAATTTAGTGGCGATTTGAGCGGCTCTGGCGAAGACTTAAAACTCGTGTACAAGAGATCGACAAAGGCTAGAGTTAAAGCTGCTCATAAGCGTATCGTTTTGATTGTTATAGGAAGGTCAGGTGAGTAATTATTTGTCACGCAACTGGCCGCGTTCGTCTCCGGACGCATCAATGATCCATTTCCTTCGGGATGGTAAGCTTTGAAGCGGATCAAGTCAAGAAATTGCTTACTAGACAAGAGGGTTATGATTATCATGAACATGAAGGCATTTCTTTGCTAAGGCGGTTAAGTGACTTTGAATGTTTAGGTCCGGATCTCACAGTTGCAGGCACGCAGACTGCAGTGGTTTCGCGCAACTACCGTTAACGCTCGCTACAATCCCAAGGGTCTCATCTTTACAATACGCGCCCCGACACGCGGCAAGGGCAACTGGGAACAAGATCCTTCATCAACAGCAGACCATGCGTGCACCGTACAAAGAATGCATCAGCAAATGAATTCAGTGACAGTATGACCGCTGACTGCGCAGCTCTGTTCAACTGTACCCTTCTTGGTAAGCTTTTTAATATTGATCGCCACTCGTTTGACCAGTGTGAGGAAATAGTTATTGCGTGATGCGCGCCCCATGGCAATAAGCATAAATGGTAAAAAAANAAAAAAACCGGATGCTAAGTCTGTTGAGAGAGATCATTCCTTCTTTTGCTGTTGTGGTTGCTTAGCAGTCGTTGGTCGGAGTGGTGGACTTGTGGCGTTGTTAACAATTAATTGAATGCAGGTTGCAGGGGGCAGTGGGGACTTGTTTTGGTGGTTCAATTAACAAAAACAATCGAAACGTCATCTGCCCTTTCTCTACATAAAACGGCGTTGCTAAGCTGGCAGTGCGAGGTTCAGGCACTGCCTGCAGAATTCCTTTTCGATACAATATGGTAGCGAATGAGAGACGTGGGCAAAGCTAGCGTGCCTGCATTACTTCAGTGGGCACAATACGAAGGCTAAATAGGCGTGGAGTAAAACTTCGTCAGATTTCTTGGGACAGTTTATTCATCTACCTCTGAGATGTTGACAATATTTTGATTGCATCTGATTGCTTGACATGAGCCGATAGCAGAGACGAAATCGTCGGAATCGAAGAGGATGACGTCGGTTTCGTGATCTAGGATCTTCAAAAGCTTCGTATTGCGGTAGTAGGGGAGAGTTCTGCAGTTGGTCTGAGAGTTTTATAGTGGGTCTTCTTTCCTTCACCCTCACCCGCGCAAAGATTCGTGGTGGATTACGATTAAACAACTATGAGCAATTTCTCTTGCTTGCTCAATCTGTTCAGTAGTACTTTCGGTCATGCATGTATCCACTGTCGTGTCAACAATTAAGTTCGAGATACTCTTTCGACCGCTAATTGCGCAGCCTTCACTGCAGTGCCTTTCTGGAATGGTTTTCGTATCGTACCACACGCAGGTGGTGGAATATGAGCAATGAGTAGTGATCGCGAGGGATGCGTGACAAAGTGGAAGATTGATGAAGCGTGTGGAGTTTTATTAAGCACTCACTCCATCTAGTTGAAAAAAAAGTTTAACATATAATTTACTTCTAATTTACTTGATAACGTTATTCGAACCATGCTCGGTACAAGACGAGTGCTTATACGAGTAGAAATGAACGGATTACGTGGAAGCTGATGCCATTATAATTTACTTTTACAGCCGTGATACCTTGAATTTGTTTGAAAAATGATCCCATTGTTTGGAAAAGTCCTTAGATAATTCCTGCAATCCCAAGCACCAAGAATATTTCAAAATTTTGGGGCAGTAAACGCCAATCATTCATGACCGCTTTCATTACCTCTCATTGTTTTGATCAAATAATCGCAACGCTGCTTCGATCAGATTGCCGCTATATACGAGGTCTTGAAATCAGCTGAGCTAAGAGAGAAGTACAACAATGTTCTGGAGTATGGGTTACCTGATTGGAGACAGCCTGTCTTCTACTACAGGTATCTTGATCTCTTCAGTTTTGTTGGACACCTCTGCAACTTCTCTTACAGGAAAATGCGGAAGCTTTCATGGTATGAGGCTCTTCTGGTTCTTATTGGTGTGTCTTCAATTGCACATTACCTCATGATGTGGGCTGCTTACTATGAAAAATACTTGGTTTTATCACAGGTGAGCGGGGAGGTTTTCACAGTCCCTTTCGCGGAATACTGAATTTTAGACCCTAGTTCTGCTCTCATGGTTTATTAGACTTATTCGTCTTCCTAATTTTACACAAAAGATTTTCAGAGCATCAAGAAGTCTAGGAAACGTGAGAAGAAAAGTGAGCCTGATGTTTCGGCGACTCAATTACGGGAGGCGTTGGAGATCTATCGCCCACAGATCTACAATTTGCTACCTTTTCTTATAGTTAAAGGATCATGGAGTACATTTATGGTTTGTTCACTTATGTTGAATATCACTATGTTGGCGTTTTTGGTACACTCGTTTATATATTTTTTTTACCGATCTGTAATTGTTGCAGTTCTTGATAGCAGTTGCAAAGGAGTATATGACTCGCAGGGAAGTTCCCGACGAGGTAATGTTCGTTCAATTACCCTTTGTTTACTGTTTTCCCATTTCCCAAGAGTGCCACTACAGATATCGCTTTAAAACTGCTGAATGTTGCTCAGTAATAGCGCCCCTGGCGTAAGGCAGCAACAAGGTTATCAAATAGCGAACACTAACTGCTTTCTTCATGCATGTTTATCATTAGTTTCAGGAAGAAATTGTCGAAGCTCGTAAGCCGTCGACGACCCCTCGTGCTCCGGCTCCAGTGTTCAACTATGAGGTTGCTACTGATCTGAAACCAGTCAGCACCAACAATCCCGAGTCATATGCCAAATACATGTCTGAACAGCTGGAATCTAACAAAAGTCGGTTTATAAGTCGCCAAAGTCTTTTCCTGCATCACGTCTGTATGAGCTACTTGTTTTGTTGGCAAGCGTTACATTTTGTAATAATAGAAGGAATTTTAGAACACAGTGGTGCGATGTGGACAGGCGAAGAGTTGTATCAGTTGGTCCGATTATCTACAGAAAAGTTTCCTCCAGGTATCTTCTTGTCTCTACTTACAAAGTCGACACTTGGTTGGGAAGTCTTCTTAGTTTGTGGATTCTTTTCGGCACTCCGAATCGATGGGAATGCATGGCTCGAGTACTTAATCGGAGCGCTCAGGACATAGTAACAATGGCGGGAAAGTTAAAACACATGAAGCAGGTAAGCTCTTTTCTGTATCCCTTGCTATGTTCAAGCAGTAGCTCTGAAATGCAGAGAAGTGGGTTCGATTCTGTTATTTTCATTCTTTTTTGGGAGGAATATGCAAAGCTAGCGGCCGGTCAGCAGTCCTCCAGTGTGTCGTCCAGTGTGATGGATGTACACAATATCAAGCAGACGGACAGCCCAAATAAAGCAATCGTAAGTATTCTCCTCAAATACCAACATCTAGCTGTTTTCACTTTACTTTTTTCAAATCTACACCACTTCTGCTACGATGAGGTACCAGACCATTCCTACTAGCGCTACTTTTGTCTTTTCGTCTTTAGTTCTCACTCTCATTTTGATACCGGAAACCCTCTTGTCCCCTTGTCCGTGTCCATGAGTGACCGCTCTACTTTAGCATGTCTAATAGTTTGGAATTCTTGTTCAGTAGGAAGTAGAGCGGCTCTGATGCCTTTTCTCCTATCATCTGTAAGTGGCTGCATTCAGAGTCCGCCGGTATACTTTATGAGCGCGAATCCAAGGGCGCGTGCCGGCGGCGTCGGCGCTAGCCACTTGTTGACAACACTGGTACGCGATACATCGACGTCTAGGGTGTTCAGTAAGTGGCATGCACCGGCGCCGGCCGGCACGCGCGCTCGGATTCATGCCGGCCGCGCACATGGAAGGCGTATTGGCGGACTCTGAAGGCAGCCAGTAGTCGATTGATTGATACTACACTTGTTTGGCAGCATAAAAACACTGAGTTGGTGGTGCAAGTCACAGTATTGGTCACAAATATATTCAATCGTCACTTCGGTTCTGACTGCTGGAGTGCATCCAAGTATGGGATTAACCAATGCCGAATTCATCTTTTTGTCCTAGGCACACTTAGCGATAAAAATGTTTCTGAGATTTCCCTATAGGATGAATTGGAGAACCCCTCGTATACCATATCTGGCGGTAGCAGGTCGGAAACGGTCTATATTGGGGCGTTATAAAGGTGTACGATTTCTATGCCTATTTAGCTTTCACAAAATGTCTACATCAGTGGGGGTAGAGGGTATATGAGAGCCAGAAGCAACAATTCGTGCAAAAGATTAACTAGTTGTTTCTTCCATCCGAAGAGATTGACCAAAACAACAAACGTTGGCCTTGGTAATTTCTCGTTCGGCATCGTGCTCTAGGCTTCTGTTGTTCATAGACCTCTGCACTTTCCGAACCAGTGTAGTAATCAAAGTTTTTAAACATTTTCATCCCGATTACAGCTAACGACTGAATGGTCGCAGCTTGAACAGAAGCAGTTGGAGACTGCTCTCCAACAATATCCCAAAGGATGTGAAGATCGGTGAGTTGAGCAATGACCTTTCCTCATAATACCACCAAAAACCTCCTTTGCTCCTAGATGGGACAAAATTGCGAGCGCTGTGCCAACGAAGTCAAAAGAGCAGTGCCAACAAAGACTGAAGGAACTAGTAGAGTTGGTGAGACGTAAGAAAGCCAACGTTAAAAACAAGGAATAGGTGGCGGGTATTGTACTTGATTTATTTCTGTTTAGGAATTGATTCGTTTATTATATCTGTGGGGTGTGCTTTCTTGCTCATTATTTACTGCTATATTTACATGTCTTGTTTATTTTATTTTGCAAATATTCGAATACAGCAAAGAATAACCCATCGATCATCAAAATTCATGGCTATTTGTTCATTAAAGCACTGTGATAATAAAGTTGAGCGGTGGTTGAAAGTTGGTTAGCACACTTCTAAGGCACATGAGGCATTATGGAGTTTTGTCATGGTGCTCATGAAAGATGGCACTACTTCATAAGGGTTTGTCCTCGATGAAGTCACCATATGAACTCACCTCGAGTTCTTCACTGGTACCCAAGAAATAAGGTAGATGAAAGGAACATTCTAGAGAAGTAATTGAACAATTAACGAAAATCTAATATCACATGAGAAAGTCTTGCGCAAATATAATGTCATCTCATGACAGTACATTTGTGCAAGCTGAAGACGTTGGCAAGCTGAGTACAAAGATTAAGTCATCATAGTCAACATCAACACATCTTTGGACATAGAAAAATTTAAAAAATCGGTCGTTGGCAGCAAAGGGAGTGAACCCGAAATCAAAATTCAAGTTCTTTAGGAAGTTGATTGTGTTTGATTGACGTAACTCTGTATAGATCTACAATTTCGCTGACTACACTGCAGTATTTACAAAACAAATGCTGACTGTGAAATACATGGGCGAATCTCTCTCTGTAGGTGGTTTCACCAAATTAAAGCATTTGACCATGTTGTTGAGGGTTGTAACTGTCCGGACCTGCGTAACGTGTTTTCGTGTCGGCGTAGTGACCGTCGACATCCCGATTCTCCTTACGTTCAGCCTTCTCCGCGTGTGGGCGATTTCGTTTGAAGAAACCACACTAAATCAACATCACTTTGGTTTGTACCCCTGACTGGTATCGCTGATTATCATCAAAACTTACCCTCCACAAAAGGAGAATGAGCAGAGCGAGTAGTACGAGACCGATCAGAATTGCGAGGAGGTAGAGCCACCATGGGACGCCAGCAGCGGACGCTTCGTCGTCAACGGCGTTTAGTGAGGTGGTGACCTAAAAAAGTGAGTGGGCAGGGTCAATGTTGTTCTGGTTATCTACATGTTTGTCATTTTCCAGCCTTTCTCTTCCCATCTCATTCCCTCGCTCTACCAGCAATGCAGTGTAATTTAGGGCATAAGTCCGGAGTGACAAGCACTTTTGATGTAATACAAACAGGGCTATGTCTGAAAAATCTCAAGGAAAGTATGGCTTAGGTTTAGGCGTTGAGGGAATTTCATTCTCGAAGAACACTGGTAGAAGTTTGAATTGAACTAACTGGCACGACCTAACTGTACATACAGCCTATACCTTTCAAAGATTTCGCACACCTAAATGTATGTTCTCATTCCCGTTTTGACCGAAAACCCTTACCTGGATTTCTTCTGTTTTACTACCAAATCTTTCTACTACTTTGGAAGGTCCGATTATGCCAGCCATTTTAGCATGCTGCATGAAAAGTCTTACTTAATGAAACGGTGGAGTAGACAACACTTCAAAAAGCCCCTGACATCCTGAATTGGATTTCGGCGTTATAGTTGGAAGTTCATAGAGTATTTTCTATTGGCCTATTAATGGACCGCTTTCTCCTGGCAGGGTAGTTTAAGCTCATTTTTTGTTTGTCTTATTAAATGAGATTTTACACGTTGATTGATGACTTACAGCCGTGACCAGTGATGGTTTGTGTGGCCAACTGATCTTGGATGATGTGACCTTAGCAAGGGCTAAGGATGAGATTTCACCTCCAGGATTGCGCTCATCAACGAGTGTGTTAGTGTAGAGACGGGAAAAGATCTGAATCGCGCAGGTTGAGATCGAGTTAACTATCAAATAAAGGCATGACTTACTTCAACAAGAACAAAATCATTCTCTCCGATGTTGTGAAGGTCGCATTCGATATGAGTGCACCGCAGATCATTGCAGTCAACGCTGGCTCGACTCAGTACACCTTGGTAGTCGACAACGCCGTGGGCATCCTTCGACATTTTCACAGCCTGTCGAAGGTCTGAGAAACGAGCCTTATCTGCAATACAATGAATTCATCGAATGAAGCCCAATCTATGCAACAGCGCTCTTACCCGAAGTCTTGGGCTCGCCTCTTGCTCTTGCACCGCTATGCTTTGCCGATTTTCTCTTGGCATCCCTCTTCACTCGGCTACCTTTGCGATCGTAATCTTCGTCCTCCTCATCATACTCATCATCAGGGATGTACTCGTACTCTACCGGCTGTCGTGACTTCTCTTTGTATTCCCATGTGCCACCAGCGCCGTCAGGCCGTCGAGCAGCCACATTAAGCTGAATATTTGTAATGAGTTGTCAGATATGGTGCTTAGTTTCAAACTCTATCTGGGGATTTTCCCAAGAACTCGAATTTATGAACATGGGGAAGACCGTTTTGGTGGGAATCAGAAATGTGGCAAAGGTGTTCCTAACATGCTTCCCATTTGTAATAACCAGAGTCTATCCGAATCATTTCCTGTGCTTCTTTATCTCCTTTCTATAAAGCTCCTTTCCAGAAAGAAAGGCTTCCCAAGGAGTCCGCCCATATAGGTACAAATCTAACTACTTTACAGCTTCTTCGCACTTCCACTCACTCGCCTATTAGATGACTTCGTTCAAAGGGTTGGTCGCTGGCCTCTCTGCCATATGTATGATAGGGAATATGAGCATACTCACCATACTCACTTGCGTTTCCTCCTCGTCCCTGCCCATATCCTCCTCGGTCTCGTCCTCTCCTTCTTCTTCATCTTCTTCCTGTGTGTGGCCGTAATCAGTTGTCTGTATTCTTTGAGGAGCGTCAGTGGGGATGTGTTCGTTGGTCACCTGTAGCAGAAATTCCTTTGAGAATCGCCCTCTGAAGATCCCCAGTTAAGTTCTGAACCTTACCCGCAGATTAAGAGGGTTGATGTTCTGTACTTGCTTCACTCGGCACCGCCCTTTTGATGGGTCACTAAGAACTGGCTCAGTGATAAGGTAAAGCAGATGACCGCCGTCGGCCGAAAACGACGGCCAGAAGATGTCAAGCGTAGCAGCCTCGATCTCTGACGGACCTCTGTTCGATACCTACAAGCGGATATTGTTAGATATTTAACATGAATCAAATTGATTAAAATCAAAAACACGACGAAGTCGAATAGAGGACCGGGTCGGAAATATTGTCAGGCCCTCACATTTCGCAGCTAACTTAAAGCTCAGTTCACGACAATCCTGTGGCAAATCGCCGAATTTCGGGAAATATAAGGTTTTCAAGGTAATAAAAAAAATAAAAAGGGGGAGGGGAGGGGATGCAGGAATGTGACTATGGAAACAACTTGGGAGGATTATGTGGACGAGATTCGGGCGCGTGATATTGTCTGAAGAGGTGGCTATAGTAAGCAAAAAAAAATTGAAATGGTTTTATACTGTCGCTTTGGCTGCTTTCATAGTCCGTGATTTGGCCCGCGAGCACGCGAGCGAGCGACCGACCGGGGGAGTGTTCGTCTAGCGGTATCGACCAAGATTCAGTTGTAAAAAGCGACAAGCGCCGCTCCCGGTTGCTCGCTCGCCCGCTTGCGGGCCAAATCGCGGACTATGAAAGCAGCCTAAAAGTGGGACTGTAAGCAAATATCATTTTGTTCTCATATATTATTCATTACCATTATTTTCTAAACTACTTTTATTTTATATACTATTCTTGTTATTACTAACTGTTATTGTAATATGACTACACCGATGCTTTCTAAATCACTGTTTGAACTTTCAATAAACGACCTCCATTGTGAAAGGAGTAGCACCAGGGCCGTTAGAACAACATTGAAGAGAGTTTGCAAGCGCTCATTACGCCTTATTAAGGGCGTTTTCCGACCTCTCCTTGAAGGGAACAGATTCATCGTTGTGGGAAATACCAGGAACTAATTTTAGCGTTAAATGCGCCTTTGGACCAATGGGCTTCTATGAAGGGCCTCACTTTCTATTTTAGAGTCCATTGAAACTCATAACGAAGCACAACTCGCCTGATAGAGATGGCTCACGACTGGGCCTATTTCGTTATCGTCGAAGACATCAGAAGGAGTTCTGTTTCTAGTTGAAAAGTCAATCTGAAAATCACACTCAAATCTCTGAAGTATACGGAGTGGGAGAAAGCATTTGCATGTGAAGAGAGTCCCTGAGTGGTACCTGTTCGGGATTTGATCGTCCATTTAGGGATAGTTGATTTCTGATGTCGACTGGGATTGTAAAGGTGACAGAGTTGTCGTGTTCCGTGCGCCCTTCCTCCTCATTTGAGCTATACTTTCAATGTTTTTGTTGGTCCAGAGAAGTCAAATAACGAATCGAAGAAATTCCTAGTTACCTGTTGACAAATGCATGGATTGTGATCGGTTTTGTTGGAGGCTTCGCCTCATTGGCGGTAATTCGGATCACCGTCGACAAGGTTTTCTGTTGTGGTAAGGGATTCCCGAGTTCACAGGCGAAAGTCCATTTGCCGTCCTCATCCGGTTCTTGAGTGGTTGGTGAACAACTCGGTGCCGTCTGTAAGCATTACAACTCGCCATCTGCTTTACCCAATTCAGCACGCTCTACCTACCTTCTCATCAGTGGCCACCACTCCGCTGTACTCAAAACCTTCCGGAACGTCAAAGAAAAGCTTCGTCTCATACGAGTCTTCACCGCTGTTTTGTACTGTAACGTTTACCATTAGGGTGTTGTCCTTTGTTCCAATCAGGAATTTTTCTCGGTCCCTGCAATAAAGCGATCATATGTTCCATTCACATTTTGTGTAGAATGAAAAGGCGATCAGAACTTACGAGACTGCTTGCACTTTCAAATCAGGGATACATACGTCGTCCTTACCGCAGTTGTTTGCGATATTGATCTGAAACATAAAAACAGGCTTATTGAAATAAAAAATTGAAAAATTAAAATATAATTTGTGTAAAATAGTTCCCAGGAGTTTCTAGGAAAACTTACCTTGTTCTCGAAGGATAGTGGCACTGTAGTGTCAATGGCCGGTTCCAGCTGCTGTCCACTCAACTTACCCGTTCGTGATTCTTCATAGGTGTAATTGACGGACCAATGGATCGGCGAGAGTTTATCTCTGCAAAAGGTGTTGACGTGTTTGTAAACATTTCACGAAAACAGCTCCGGTTCTTGTTGACCTACAGACTCGAATACGAGCACCCAAAAATCGTACACGTTTGTAGGAAAGCTCGCATCATGATTCAGCAGGATGGCACCTCTCCGGGCAGTCAAACTTCTGATCAGCCAATCAAGTTGATAAATTAGTGCTATGTATCATTGACCTTGCAGAAAAGCTGGTGTGGTACAGTTGAATCGAAATGGTCGCATCGCGGCGAGAGCGACGTCGCGCACGAAGGAATGTGGTGGAATGGAGCAGAAGCAGCACAACAAGTAAAGAGTACAGGAACAAAAGACGTAGTAGTAGAGTGTTGCCAAAACTAATAATCGCATATCGACCGAGCTGTATGAATAACGCTAGAACTGCAGTAAGGGGCAACTAGTTCGCGACCGCCGCAAACCAATTACGCGAAACCGATTCAACAGCCCGTCTCCCCAGCAAAGTGACGTATCAGCTGGCAAGTCCACAAAATATTGCATATAACAGGAATGTATTTCTACGCCTTCACGATTTCCACGAGAACCCTGGCGCATCCCGTTCTAGAGGACTGCGCGGCGTCGGCTTTTCAGTGCTGTTATGCTCATCGAAACCGGGCTACGCCCTTCTTTTGAATCCGGGAAAGCTACCAACTACTAATCCTATCTTTCTTTGCATAAGTACTAGTGCGTTCAGATCATGCATACCTCATTGTGTTGGAAGCGAAGAATCTCTGCTTAAAACATTTCTGCCGATTTTTTTCAAGTCGAACCCTCTTTTCAATCACATTTGGGTGATCTTTCGTCTTCGATTCCTTGGCAACTGTGATATCGCGATCGCTTCTCTGAAAAAATGGTAATTTCAGATGAATTGATTTTTCTTTCAAATAGTCAATTCTCACAATATCTTTTTGCAAGAAGTAGGCCCGGGGCTCGGGCGAATGGTCATCCAAGTTGTAGCGAAGTACGAATTCCAGGTCATTTGGTGTGTCTCCCTTACCTTCGTAGCGTAAGCAGGTGTTGATGTTTCGGCTGAAAACACACCGTTATTATCGTCGATTATGAAGGGAGCCGTTGAGGATGATTGGGAAGGCTCTTCTACACTTACCATGCCTGCTTGCCGATCTTCGCGTCAACGTCACAGTTCTTGTCCTCGATGTTGATCGTCACGCTATCCGCATCTGTCTGACCAGTGACCGTAACTACAGGTTTTGTGGTGAGCACAGCTGCGATTCCACTTTTCCATGCTCCAACGGCCACATCTAGAATAGCTACGTCCAAAGGGGAACTAGTTTTGAATTGATGTTTTTTGCTCGAGTTTTGCCCTGAACTCGCTCTCCTTGTGAAACGGAGACTACTTCAGAGAAAAGATAAGATATGGAAAGCCCTTATGAGGGGTGTGGTGCGTTAGGAACGAAATGGTCGCGTCGCGGTGTGAGGGGCGTCGCGCACGAAGGAATGTAGCAGGATGCAGCAGTAGGTAAGAAATTCAAGAACAAAAGTATTAATAGTAGAATTATGCATAAAATAATGATCGCAGATCGACTAAGCTGTATGAAGAACGCTAGAGCTGTAATAACGGCGAAAGAGTGGTCCGCGATAGCCGCTTGCGGCGAATCGTTTACCCAAAATCGTTTCTAATGCCCGTCTCCCCCCTTATGAGAAGAGATTTTTCATACAAAATCATAGCTGCTACTCAGTGTACAGTTTCAAATTGTACAGCTATTCATTCATTAATCTCCTGGAAATAAGATCTGATTCACCATTTTTGTTCATAGTGAAAGCAGTCTACTCCGTCATATTTTGCACTTTTCATTGGCAAACGTGGTGCAGAGGCAAGTGGCGCGCTATCACAAACGCATAGTGACGGGTTCGAATCAGGGATTGATATCTGCCTAGGATAATCGAGCCTTCCATTCCCTCCGGTGTCGGTTAATCACCACTACGATTCTGACGAAAGTTGAGTGCGGGGCGCATCCATCAGACCGCATTGACTAACGTCAAAAAACTTCATCCTTTATCTTTTTTTATTGAGACAAAGTACAACCTCTGTTTGGGTGGTAACAAAATACTTCGAAAGTATGCCATCGTAGTTAACACGTGCTTGAGCGAAAAATGGTGGAGCTAAATTGTTCTCAACAAACATAAAATCCATCCAACCTTCTAGGGGAATGGGGCATTCCAACGCAATAGCTAGGTTAGGCTTAATCTTGCCTCCATCACTGCGCAAACCTTGTCTGATGCGCATAGAATCAAGAAACATTCGTCGGGGTAAGGGATTTTTTAAGCGGCTATATAGTTGAGGGGCATCGTTCAACAGAGAAAGGTATGAAGTAATGATTGTTGGTAATCTGCCGAAAGCTGCCTGCCAGTTCCGTAGAATTCGAAATAGGCATTGTAGGGTGCCTTGGGAGTAAGAAGATAGTTCCAAAAACCGGATTCTTAGAACTCCTACTTCGAAGAGACTACGGAAAACGTAACGGAATAAATGCTTATGGCCTAATCACCTAGTGTTCTAATGAGTGAGGTTCACTAATTATGATCAAGTTTCTATGATCGCTGCCTTCTAGTTTTTATCGATCTCACAAGGGAAGAATCACAAGTCAAAGTGACCATTTGAAGTGAGACTTTTATTGCTGGACGTAATTTCGGGTGACGCTTTTGAATTAGTTTTCCAGATTCACCACGACTCTCTGAACGGTGTTCTAAAGGAACCGATACACATCAATCATCAAAAAGTTCGCCAAAAGTGCAGAAATCAACGTCGAAGGTTTTCGTATTTCGTAGGAAAAAGTGCCGCCAAATGCACGATCACTTCGCTCGGGAAACGGAACCTACGTGCGTCCGAGGAAGCGCTGCAAAGTTCGTAGCGATCTGAACGGCTTTAGCGCCTGATTTTGGGGTCCAAATTTGAAGTAGGGCAGATCAGTAGCTGACCATACTAATCTACTCTACATCAGTTTGCTCCCCAATACCAGACGCCAGGGTCGTTCGAAGGGCCACAAATTTCGCCGCGGCATCCTCGGACGCACGTATGTACCCATGTCCAGCTCCTTTCTAAGGGCTTTTCAGAAGTTTTTTATCACATTTGAAACACCGATCCACGTGCTTATCGTACCCTATCGCACCATTCTAAACCATCCCTTTCATTTTTCATTATTTGAGTAACCCAGATTTATCGTAAACAATTTAACATAAACAAACACAACACATGTACGTAACTCCGCCTTTAGAGCGGAGTTACGTACACGTGTTGTGTTCGTTTATGTTGAGCCCTAACTTTAAGTCACTTTTATAACACCGCTCGGTGAGTTTGTTGTTGTCTTGAACTCTTCACGAGGTTTTTAAATAACCTTTATTAGGCTGACGTTTCGGCGGAATCGCCTTCTTCAGAGCCTGAAAGGATCATA